AAATTAAAAAACTTACCGATACAGTCACTAATAACCAAACGAACCCTTAACGAAACTGGCTGAACCCAATTAAGAACCCGAATAAGAAAGATTTCTAAAAGCTAAAATCGATCGCTTGGTATGTGAAGTCTTAGAGAAGGCTTTGGATTATATGCGGAAAGTAACAAACAAATAATGCTCAAAATTCCAACCGATCCTGAAATATAAAAAGTAAATATTAATAAATAATCCCCAATTTATACATAGCAATTCCCTCTTTCATTTCGCCTACTATCCCACCACTTTCCACTTCCTCTCACTGCTCTCCACTACCCTCCACCGCTCCCACCATCCACTGCCCTCCACCGTCTTCACCACCCACTGCTCTCCACTGCCTACACTTCACTACTCACTTAATTAATTAAACACGAAACCTAAATAAATTAAAACATTAAAAAAAAATATATATTAAAAAAAAAATATTAAAAAAAATTCTTACTTACAGCCGAAGTTGATAAAGCTTGCTTTCTTCAGTTCAGTTCTGAAGAAAGAAGCTTTACAAAGGCAAAATAAGATTATCAATTTAACATTTGATAATCAATTTAGGATCTGAATTTGAATCTGAATCTGACGGATCAGATCTTAATCTGAATCTGAATCTGAATTTGATGGATCAGATCCAATCTGAATCTGAATTCAAATCTGATCTGAATTTGACAGATCTGATCCAAATCCGTGCGGAATACTAATAATAATATATACAAATATAAATAAATATATCTTCGCGTACAATTTTTTCTTTATTCAAAGTAATATCTTCTACTTTAATTGATTTAGTGTAATGAGTAATTTTTGGAATAAGATTTAAAAATATTACCATATTTAAAATCATTATATAATTATCTTGCAACTCCAAAAAAATGTTCACATACTTCTGTATTATATTTCTAAGGTAAAAAAGGATAGGTTGGATAAAATTTGTGATAAATTTTAATTAAAAGTAAAAGAGATTCTGCTAAACTTATAAAAATATCAAAACTTTGTAAAGCTAAAAAATTATGTGCTAAAGATATATAATTAGAATATGATTGAAAAATAGTTTCTATATGAAAATGCTATATATAAAGAAAAAATAAGCTCTCATATCTATTTTGATTCTCTCAAAATGAAAAATTTTATGATTAAGATAGCTATCTAATAATTCACTTATTTATAATAAAATTTATGTTAATTATTTAATATAAATAATATAAAAAAATAAAATAAAATAAATAATAAAATAACTTATCTATAATGAATAAGTATACAAATAATCCCTTATTATCATTAGACAATTATTTATTATCTAAAAGTTATTCTAAGTTCTGAACATAAAATATATAATAAGCTATATCATTATCTTGTCAATCAAGTTTAATTACATCTCTTCTATATAAAACACTTGCTGGTTGCTGACATAAAGTAAACAATTGTCTATAGTGTACTGTTGAATTTTTGAAGCTTAATAATCTTACATCAGACATACAAATATTTCATGCTATTTTTTTTCATAATTTGAATTTTATACATAGAAAACTTGCTCAACATTTAAAAACATAGGACAGTTAAAATCAATTCTATATTCTTTATAATAGACTGTAAATTGATCTAATGTATAAAACTTTTGAACTGCTATTTGGGCTTGAAATTTAACTAATGTCTCATTAGAATCAATAGATATTATGTAAAGATTTAATTGTGATGTAATATTAGTAAGAAGTTTAAAATGAAATATAGAAATAGCATTTGCTTTTTTGGAACCAGTATGTGAAATTAAAGTAATTACCACTGAAGGAATCTTTGGAAGTGAAATCTAAAATAACAATTTTTAATCTAATATTTATAATGTAATTAATTAAAAACAAATGTAATAAATACTTTACCTATAGTAAATAAGTCCTAATGTCTTTTGCAATAGCTTTTTTTTCTTTTATATTATTAATAATAATAAGAATATTATCATAATTATTCACCTGAATTTCTTCAATTGTAATGAGAAACTAATAATACAATTGAATTATGCAGAATATTGTAGTCTAAGTTTCAGTTTAGTATTATCTGTCATTATAACTATCAGTTCATTATATTTAAGTGTATTTAACAATTGCTTGAAACACGTAACATTTTCATAACACATATTTGGATCTACTAATTTTTCTTCAGAATTATTCTGAAGATATCTGAATAAAGCATATATTAAAATTAATAAATACTTCAAATATATATAATAGCTAATAAAAAATATATACCTGATATTTCGTAAAGACTGCCTCTTAAGATTTTATCAAAAAAGTTTCAGTAACTTTGAAAATATACTTTTGAGAATAACAAGAAAATTCATAAATTCAGTAAAATAACAAAGGTCATATTTCCCTTTATTTGCCTCTGATACTTCAGAAACTTGAAGTATTATCTGATAAAGATCCTTAAAAACAGGTTTTTTTGTCAAATGCACCTTAGTTTATCTTATTTGTAAGCATTTGTCAGAATGAACAATCTGAATTAAAATCTAAATTCTTTAATTTATTAGTTAACAATTAATATAGGTCTCATATGTCAGTATGCTGAAGATGATTTACAAGTGCATTCATTTTTAAATAGTATTTCAGAACAAATTTTCAATTTTCAGATGTAGGTGTTGGATATGCAACATTATTTCAAAGTTCCTTATCATTACTCAATGCTAAACATGCATTGTAAATGTTCTATTCTGCAAAATATTCATATTTTATAGATCAAATATACACTACTATTAAAAAAAATTCTTTTATAATAAAAGTATAAATATTTTATTGATAAATGTTTTATAAAACATATTTACTAATCTGATTGATTATCTATTTTATTTCTGCATAAAGTTGCTAGTTGAATTCCAATTTTTGATCTTTAGACAAATGGTTAAAATTAAATTTAGATGATATCAAAAATAAGTTTTCAGCAATAACTTTACATTGTTATATTCCTCTAACTTCTACTAGAGTTTGTTCAATATATTGTTGATATTTTTCACCTAATAAATCTTGACAAGGTTTTTTTTTCATAGACATCTTAATAGGTTCATTAAATTTATCAGGCTTAAAGAAGCTATCTAAGTTGCTAGTATATTTAAAAAAATTAGTAATTTCAGGCTGCTTATTTTTCAAATTGCAACTATTTTTCACATGTTTTGTCAAGTTTGTTTCATCATACTCTCTGTTTAAAACTATTTGTTTTCTATAAATATATTTAACTATAGTACTACTGTAAACATATGCAATATTAAGGTTTTTTTTAAATGTTCTAAATATATTTTCAACTTATTTCTAGTTAGTCTAGCTAGTAAAAGAAACAAGTTTTTAACTTTATTTTTAAAGTTTTCACACATGCGTTATAATATATATTATAATGTATTATTGAGTCATGTGATATATGAAATTGAGACCTAAAATTGGAGTAAATAACACAAATCAAAATATTAACCTAAATAAAAATAGCCTAAATTATGCAATTTCAACCCCTAATATTAATCAAAAAGCTGACATTTTAATACATTCTTAAATTATAAATCTTACAAAATTTTTGGTATTGATGATGTAAAAAAAAAATTTTTTAGCTATGACTTACCTTAGAAGTTTTTGGATTCCTCACTTTATTCAGAAATAAAATTAAAAATATTTTTTAGCTTCAAGTTTATACAATAAGACAAGCCTTTATTAATATAAAAATATCACTGTAATAACAATATACAAATAAAATATGAAAACTGGCTGACCCAAATTTTGAAGCTAAAGAATAATTTATAAAATAATATTTATCTATTAGACATGAATATTATGTGTGAATAGTCTTTACAATTGATCTAATATATTTTGCTATTGATCAGAATTCATATCATCATTGTAATCATGCTTTTCATCCTATTTTAATTTTTCTCTCAAAATTGACTTTTAGTAATTGCCTCTCTCAATATAATTGCTGTTATCTTTAAAAGCAGACTTATATATAAAATTATTTGATTTAAAGCATAGACATCAGACTGGAAAGTTAGTATTCATTCGAAGCATCTTTTTCTTATTTTCTTAAGAATATGTAAAGAAAAAGGAAGTTAATACTTATCATTTCTATTTGCTTTTAGCAAGTGATGTGTTAACTAACTATTTATATTAATAGGAAGAAAATTTGACGAATTAGGCATAGGTGTTAGCAGTGTTGTCATGAGACATTGATGGAACACTGATAGGACACTGATAGGACGCTGATAGGACATATATGGGACAGATAGGACATTTGGGATATAGTGTAAGACAGGTTAGGACATATAGCTAGGACATATAGCTGGGACAACAAATCTCTAAGACATTAAAAATGTATATTATTGAGTGTTAGTAAGTCATCAAGATCATTGAAATCATTAACTTTAGAGGCATTGAAAACATAATTCTTCATCAGAAAATCAAATAAGATGATTATATGCAAAAATAATCAATTGTAAATAACTCTACTAATCCCTATCCTGTCTGAAGATATGCAGATATAAAAAAACTTAGAATATACTGATTTTTAGAAAATTTAACATTTTATTTATTTATGAATTTTATTGCAAATTTGTATAACTAAATTTCTTGCAGTTTCTTTTAATTATTAACATTTATTGATATTTTTCATAACCTAAAATCTTTATTTCCAAATATTTATGTAATAAATAAATATTAGGTATATATAAATTTTATTTAGAAATGCATTTTACAGAAAGATATTAATATAAGTTATAATCGTATTTATGCATATAATAAATTTTGCGTTATTGTAGCAGCTGATCGAGAATCAGTAAATTTAAAAATTTCAAAGTGTCTTGTTTAATAATATTTGTAAAAATAATGAGATTATTATAGAGAAAAATAAAAAAATACTCATAAAATTAGTAAAGAATTTATACAGTTACCATTAATATTGTATTATATTCAATCAAATAAATTAGCATCTTCAAATTCAGAATAAGGTTCTTAAGTCTCTCCTTTGACGGTATCATTATAATCTTTTAAACCTTCATTATTTTTTAAATCATCATGGATATCTGCAATATCTTCTTCAATTGAAATAAGTTGCATATTCAATCATTCCTATTAAAAAAACTTTGATTAGAAAGAATATAATCAATATAAATGTGAAATTGAATACTTACCAAGAAAATTGAATATCGCTTCTTAATAGCTTCTTCAGTATATTAGATATCTTTACTTTGTGGATTTAAGACAATACTACAAACTGCAAGTGCAAATACTACTATTGAAGACTTAATACAAACTTCTCTATCCTCTCTAGACATAGCCTTCATAATAATTGTATTAATTGTTAGAAGATCAGAATTGTCCACTTTTCATATGTTCAGATACACTTTAGCAACTCGTAAATTTCTTTTCTATTCAGCAATTTTTGTACCTGCATTTGCCTTTATTTTAAGAACCTCAGAAAATACTTTGAAAAGTGCTAACCAAATATCCTTGGCAATAGCACTTTAACGGTGATGCATTTTTCAAGATACCAAATAAAATTTAAATAAAAATGATAGACTGAAAATTCATAAGAAAGAATAACTTAATTACTTACGATAATCATATATTCTGAATAAAAATGAGAATCCCAATGGTGTTTTTCAATATCTTTAATATATCCTCTGGAATGCTTTTCAACATAACTTTCAAGGTGTTCTTTAAATAATTTTGCAGTAGGATGTAAAGTTATCTTTTGAATTTCTTTAGTAATAGCAATGATACCTTTCTATTAATTAAACAATCGTATAGTATGTCAATATATTAAATAATGTAAAGTCATTTTTAAAATATATTATTTACATCAAAAAAGGTGGATAATAAACTATCTTCATGCTGTAACTTTGAGAAAACCTTTATAATTTTGTCAAATTTTTTATCATGCTTTAGTTGATTTTTTCAGATAACTTTGTTCTGTCTGTTTAATTTCTCTAAAAAATCTATGGGAACTGAACAATATTCATTACGATCTCCTATATTAACAATAAAAAATAATTATATTATTAAAGAATATACAATTTATATTTTGAACTTATATAATATACCAGTTACGAATTTTTTATCTATTCGCATTGGTACAATATCATTAGCACTTCAATTGCATTTTCTTAAAGTCTTTGTATTAGAAACTAAATGATCCTGTAAGATGTATTGTTGCTTATTGTATTCAATTTTATTTTTAGAACTGTCAAAATCATTATTCTCATTTCTAGATTGAAGTTGTACATATAAATTCAAAGAATATTTATCATTATTGTCTTCTATATTAATATTGTAATCACAATTCTGTTCATATTGATATACGTTCAGATTAGAATAAGATATGATTTCCATATTTCTCTTTTCATAATTTCGAAGAGAATCAGCTATCAACAAATTTTTAGAAAGACATATGAAATAATAAAGTAACATCTAACCAATTTTGTAAGTATCAATAAAAGTAATATAGTTAATAATACCTTTATTAGACTCCTTAAACAAATCTTTAATTGTTGATAGCTGCAGTGATAGAGTTGTTGAAGAATTTTATAAGAAACAGGTAGCTGTAATGATGAATCTGAAGAATTTTTATGAGAAACAGATGGCTGCAATGATGAATCAAAAGAATTTTTATGAGAAACCGTTTGCTGTAGTAATAAATTTGAAGCATTTTTATTGAGAAACGGATGATTATGGTAATTGAATTGTTGAAAAATTTTTACGAGAACAGGTGGTTGTTTTATTGCAGAAATTCTAGAAGAAACACGTATTCTTCCAGTATTTGAAGCTTTAGTTATTTTGAAAATTATTTAATATTGATTATAGCAACAAAACAATATAAATTTACAACTTTTTCCTCTAAATTTCGTTAACAATGTCATCTTATCAACTATATTAATATTATTTTTTTTTGTATTTAAAATTATAATAATTTTTAATAAAGCTTAAGCTGCATCATATTTATCCATTCACAGTACTAATAAAAATTGCATAATGTGATATAAACAAGTCAATGTTTCTTTAAAAAATAAGCTTCTTTAATAATATATTAAAAATTTGTTTATCTGAAAAATAAACTTTAAATACCATTAATTAATAAATTATTTATTTTAATAAATATTTTATATTATAATATAATTATATACCTTTGTTTATATAAATATCATTAATTTAAATATTATTTTTCAGAAAAAGAAAAAAACTCTTTTTACTAATTCTCAATTTCCTAAAATAACTGAAAAGAAAAACAAAAAATAACAACAAATCTAACAAGACTCACTCTTTCTTATTAAATAATGAACAGCAATAATGCTTACCAAAGAAAATAGTTTATTAAAATCCTTTAACAACCTGAAACTTCAACTTCTAAAGAAACTTCTGATAACAATGCATTTGCAAACATAGAAATTGAGTCCACTACTATTTCTGATAGTGTTAGCATATGACATCATATGACTTATCACTGGTCAAAATCAAAAAAATCAGACATGCGAAAAATCAGCCTAAATTCAACCTAAATTTGGCAAATTATCAAAAAATCAGCCTAGCCGATTGGCATACATTAGAAATCAGCCAAAAATCGGCTAAAATTTGACCTATCTTATTTATACGATTGGCATACTTATTGCCGTTTGGCATACGTCAAAAATCAGCTAAAATTCGACCTATCTAATTTATAGCTGATTGACGTTCGATTTACATCCGATTGATATACATTAAAAATTGGCTAAAATTTGACCCATTTTATTTATAGCTGATTGATGTCTGATTTACATCCGATTGATATACATTAAAAATCGACTAAAATTTGACCTATCTTATTTATA